ATGTTTCTGTGATAATCATGATAGCCTCAGACATTTACTAGCTGTGTGACCCTGGGCAAGTCACTTAACCTCTGTTTGTCTCAGTTTCCTCATCTGTAAAAAAGAGATAACAATAGCACCTACCTCCCAGGGTTGTTGTGAGGATCAAATGAGATAATTGTAAAGCACTCAGCACAGTGCCTGGCACATATTAGGCACTATACCAATGTTTTCTGAGTTGTTTTTCAGTTGTGTCCAACTCTTGGTGACCCCATTCAGGGTTTTCTTGGCAAAGACACTGGAGTGATTTGCCATTTCCTTCTCCAGCCCATTTTACAGATGGGGAAACTGAGGCAAACAGGGTAAGTGACTTGTCCAGGGTCACACAGCTAGTAAGTGTTGGAGTCTGGATTTAAACTTAGGAGGATGAGTTATTTCATTTGGCTGTCACAATAACCCTTGGGAGGTAGGTGTTATCATTATCTCCATTTTACAAATGAGCAAACTGGATCAAACAGAGTTTAAGTGACTTGTCTAGGATCACACAACTAGTAACAAGCTGAGGCAGGATTTGAACTCAGGTCTTCCTGACTCCAAGTTCAGTGCTCTTTTCACTGCTAAGTGCTATAATTAGACATATCTTTTTTTTTTCTTTTTTTTTCTTTTTTGGTGAGGCAATCAGAGTTAAGTGACTTGTCCAGGGTCACAGTCAAGTGTCTGAGGTCCAATTTGAACTCAGGTCCTCCTGACTCCAAGGCTGGAGCTCTATCCACTGAGCAACCTAGCTGCCCCTATAATTAGACATAGAGAAGGATGTATTTAGGGAACACTGAAAAGAATCTGGAAGTTTTAAGGTTTTTTTTATTATTAGTCAAACAAGCATTTATTGAACACTTTCATGTAAGGCACTATATCAAGTGTTAGGGATACAAAGAAAGGCAAAAACATAGCTGTTGTTTGTTTCTTCTGATATATGTGAAAGGTAAACATAGGGGAAAAATCATTCATACCTTAGTAACTGATCTTCCAGACCAGATCTGGTCACAGTGAAATTAATGATAGTAACTTTAATGCAGACCTAGAGAAAAAAAGATACGGTAGAGAAAAGATAATTGTTTCAATAAAGAATGATCAAAGAAGACTAGTTGTGGCTCATCATTAAAGTGTAGTTAAGGGGGGCAAAGTCACCTTAAATTCCACATTTTCAATTAGAGTAGCACATTGCTATACCTTAACTCAGTTCACATATGTAGATATAACCGAGGCCAAACTGGGTTCCCCAAGAGGTAACTAACTATACACTGTAAAAGTACAAGAAAAATGATTAGTCTACAACACAAATGTTAGTTTTTTTCCCCCAGAGATACTATTCTTACAAAGAAGTTACATGGAATTTATGGGAGGGAAAAAGACATTTCATTTAGATGAAACATTATGTTCTTGTTTTGATCTGAAGGTTTTTTAAAATTAGGAATTGTTCATATGTGTTCAGTTTTTCCCCCCTAAGTGATTATAGCTTATTTCAAACTCAAATGAGTCTTATAAAAATTCAAATAAATCATCTATAAAAGTTAGTGCATAGGCTGCCTTCCTAAGCCTCACATTGGAAATCTGGGCACTTTGCAGTCTGGGAATGACAGTTCAGTTATGTGTCTGTGATCAGACTCAGCTAGCTAGAGAATTATTATCTTCTCCATCCCTCCCCTCCAAATTATATATTTTTTTCTCTCACAAGAAGCTTGTTACCCATTGGGTAGTTCAGTTTTTCATAGTTGGAATTCATCTTGTCTTTTTTTGCCCTGAAGAGAAGAGAATGTAGAAAATGATTCTACCTAAAATTTGGTTGTTTGAGATGAACTCAAAGGTGACCTGTTATTCAAATGTTATTCAAAGCTTCTTAAGGAAACCAAAATGCCTACTCAGGAAGTACTTAACTCCTTTGTAATTCTATTAAGGAATTCAGGCATATTTGGCCTGGATGTTTGTCAATAACTTGGGCAAAATCAGGCTGGAAGTAAAGGAATGTAATACAGAATTATCATATAATAATGATAGGGATAGGACCTAGATCTGTGATTTTATTGTTACAGAGACTTCTAGGTGAGGAAAATCCCTTTATAAATGCAGGTTGACACCTTCTTTGCAATACAGAATCTTAGAGAGTTGCCTAGGACATTGAGAGGTTGTTAATTTGCCCATAGTTACATAGTCGGGATGTTTTGGAGGCAGAACTTCAACCCAGGTCTTTTTTGATGCCAGAATCTTACTCACTAACCACTACACTCCGCTACCTCTTAGTAGTAATAATGACTCCTATTTATATAGCCCTTTAAGATCTATGAAGCACATTTCTTAGAATGGTCTAGGAGGTAGATAGTGGGATGCGGAAAGAAAGGAGCCTACCTGCCACCTTATGGGAACCCTCAAAGTGGCAGGAAAGGCACCATTTTTCATCACTCCGTGGGAAATTAGCCAGGGCCCTGATACAGAGAGGAAGTGGGTGCTATCACTGTCCAACTGTGGCTTGGGAGTGTGTGTTTGGGATTAGAGTGATAATATAGCCCCTATCCTGGTGTCCCATAAATTGTGGTGAAGAGAAGATTTGGTGACTTTATCAGCTATGTATGGAAGAGAAATTAGGCTTATTGGGTTTGGCTTCAAAGGGGAGAACCAGGGGCACTGGAAAGAAGAGGTGAAGAGACCAATCTAGTCTTGACATCCAGAAAAACCCCCAGTGATGAGGAGTTGTCCAACAGGGGAATGGCTTCCTCTCCTTAAAGGCTGGACAACTCATTGTGATTTATAGTAGGGATTCCTTTGGAGTAGGGCTTGGGTCACATGGCCAACTCTCAAAATCTGTGATTCTAGCTGTTTGGGAGAAGTGATGAGGACCTCTCCCATCCCACAGAGGATCAGGCATTTGAATGAAAATGATCTAGAATCCCCAGCCATCAATGACCTTTAGACTGGAACATTGTTACTTAGAGGTGTGTCCACTGGGGATCAACTTCAGGTACTAAGACAAATAATGATACTCATATTTGTACACTAATTTGTACATAATTGTACCTAAGCACTTATGAACTTAACATACAATATCTCAGTCAGACTTAGATAAACCTCACCACTACTAGGCTGAGAAGGGGGACAGATCATAAGATCAGAGATTTAGAGCTAAAAGGGATCTTGGAGGTCATTACAGATGAGGAAATTGAGTCATGGATAAGTTAAATGACTTGCCTTGCATTCCACTGCTAGTACAAATATCTGAGGCAGGGCTTGGGCTGCATTTTCTCTGGCTATTCACTAAGCCTGGAATGCTCTCCCTCCTTCCTTTGTCTACTGACCTACTTGGCTTCCTTTCAGTCCCAACTAAAATCCCATCTTTTACTGGAAGCCTTCCCTAACCCCTCTCAATTCCAGTGCCTTCCCTCTGTTAATTATTTCCTATTTATCCTGATTGTAGCTCATATGTATATTTGCATGTTATCTCCCCAATTAGAATGTAGTCTCCTTGAGGGCAAGGGCCATCTTTTGCCTCTTTTTGCACCATCAGCACTTAGCATGGTGCCTGACACATAGTAGGCACTTAATTAATGTTTATTGACTGGTTGATTGATTGCGCTAGAGGGCTGCTAAGTATCACAATGATTGCTAACATTTACAAAGCATTTAAAATTTGCCAATCACTTTGCATATATTAACTCTTTCAATCCTCACAACAACTCTATGAGGTAGGTGCTATCATTATTGTCCCCATTTTATAGATCAGGAAACTGAGGCACTGGGAGGTTAAGTGCCTTGGCTAGGATCACATAACCAGTATGTGTCTGAGTTGGGATTTGGCAGTAGGTTTTCCTCATTCCAAGTCTAGTGGTCTATACATAAGGGAAAAGGACTTCTGGGGTGGCCAAGAGGATAGTCATGGGACAAGGCATGGGATTCATCCAGCAATGGAGAATGACAGGGATGGATAAGGCCTGGAAAGTTGGGCCCCTGATGCCTGAAAGGGGTTAATGGGAGCACCTCAAGGAGGAATATTATTATTATTTCCTCCTTGGGGAAGAAATGGAAAGGATGTCGGGTGAAGGAATGGGACCAAGGCTGAAATGAGCCATCCCAGATTGTCCCAGGATCTAAGAATAAGCAGAAGAGCCTAGCTCCAGGGGACAGCTCATACCTCAGGGAGATAGTGGGGATTGGGCATCTTGGTTGTCATGTAGAACTTAAAGTTTTTGTCATAGTCGATGTCGGAGTCTCCAAGGCGTATGAGCATCCTCCCACCGCTTATAAAAGTCTGCTTCAAGAGAACTGGTTCCAGGGCAGGGTCCAGTGTTTCCTTCAGCTTTGATAAAGAAATCAGAACCATTGAGAATGGCATTAGCTAATGTGGCATACTCTATTGGATCTGAAAAGTTCCCATGAGGATAACAATCTAGAGTTGGAAGATACCTTGGAGACTGTTTTGTCCAATCCAAGCATTTGATATATGAGGAAACTGAGGCACAGAGAGACTCACTTCAGTGACCTCCAGGTTTTCTCTTGAGCCTCTCTGGGATGAAGGTTGTCAGCCTCAGCTCTATCTGGTATAGATAGCTTTAAAATTGGGTCAGTCCATCAACAATGACTTCCAGAATGCTCCCTGACAACCTGATAGGCCCAGGAAATGTGCCTGTGATTTCATTAGGATAGCAAACTCTCAGATGAGAAAATTCCTGCTACCCATGTGTGTTGATACCTTCTCCCTTAGCGTTACCTAAAGCAGAGATGTTAAACATGGGACCCACCTCACTGTAGCATCTGGCCCACAACTCTCCTGAGTATGGCCCGAACCATTTGTAATTGGTTTAAATGATTAAAATGTAATTGGGAAAAGTTTAACAAAACAAATAAAAATTCAACAAGACATAGATGACATTACATTTTAAAACTAAGTCAATATGGGACCCATAGAAATCCTAATGTATGGATGAGTAGTCTTCTTTTCTATTTAAGTTTGACACCATTGGCCTAGGACACTGAAGACCTCTACATCATCCAGTCATCAGCCAGTTTGTGTCAGAGGTGGGACATGAACTCAGAAAGCTTCCTGGTTTCAAGACCAACTCTCTATATATTCTACCCTGGTGTCTCACTTATAATATAATAGGGAGGAACAAAATAACTAAGGGGCTATTTCTGCCCTCTATAAGATGCAGGCTTAAGCTGCTGCTCCAAGATCAGACTTTCTCTACCCCACTCCTCAACCTTTTCCCCCAAAAGCTTACACAAATGTGTTTGTTTTTTTGTTTTTGTTTTTTTTTTGGAAAAAGTCATTAAGAAAACCATGAATCTGTCTTTATATAGAGTGTCCCAAAAATCTTGATGCAATTTTAAGACTTTTAGGACACTCTGTATAACACCTAAACACGAAATAATTGGTTGAAAAATGGAAAATTTAATTCTTTCAATTGATCGTTCAGTTTCAATAACACAAAAAACTGGTTTGGCTGATTTTAGAGTGGAAAGGACTGGTTCTTTTGGCACTATATAGATACATGCTGTGTAGGCAGCCACACAGTGCCCTGTACATAGTAAGTAGTTAATAAATACTTACTGATTAAGTGAATAGGAATGGGGAATCAGAATTAGTATCTCGTTTTAAAGGAAATGAAAACAAACCTCTTCTAGCAAGACTGGTAACCCAAGTCTAATGGAGTTTTCAAGCGTACGCAGAAATCCAATGTCCGTGAGCTTAATTATTTTTAGCCCATTCGGAGATTCTTTGTTTCTTATCCAACGATTTGCCTGTGTGGAAAAGTCCAGGAAATCAATGAAGTTTATGCTTAACAACAATCACAACATTTGTATGGCACTTAATGTTTACAAAACACTTTACATATAATATCTCCCTTAATCAACAGATAGTCAGAAAGTTATGGTTCTTAGATCAAAGTAGGTGTACCCTCTTTTTAAAAAAATATTTCATTAAGTATTTTTACGTTCCTCTCACTTCCCATTACACTCTAGTCCCAATAACTTTTCCTTGGACCAAAGGAGGACAGTTAAGCAAAACAAACCCATACAGAGGCCATGTTTGATAACATATATCCCATTGCACCTCTCTGCTGACTTCACTTCACTATCAAGTTCCCTGAAGTCATGATCATTCACTGTATTGACCAGAGTTTTGGAATCTTTCACTTATTTTCATTTCTATTGATTGTAAGCTCCTTGAGGGCAAGGACTACTGTTTGTACCAGTGCCCAGCACAGTGCCTGACACACAGTAGGCACTTAATAAATGTTGCTTGATTGATTATAATCAATATAAAGTGTTCTGGTACTACTTACTTTTTGTCATGGCTGACTATTCATGATCCCATTTGGGATTTTCTTGGTAGAGATAATGGAATAGTTTGCCATCTCCTTCTACAGATCAGGAAACTAAGGCAAACAGGATTAAGTGACTTGACCAGCTAGTAAGTGTCTGAGGCTGAATTTGAACTCAGGAAGATGAGTTATCCTGGCTCCAGGCCTGGTGCTTTGTCCGCTGCGCCACCTAGCTGCCCCTTCTCCTTACTTAACTGCATCCATTCATTCACACAAGTCTTTGAAACTTTCTCTGTATTCATGTTTGTTCCTTCTGGTTCAATAATGTTCTATCACGATCCTATACCAATTTATTCAATCATTCTTCAATCGTGGGTCACCCACTTTCATTCCTTTTTTTTTTTTTGCTCCTACGAAAGTGGTGCTATCATAATTGTTAACTCTATATAGCACTCTAAGGTTTATAAAGAGCTTTCCAAATGTTATCACATTTGATCCTCACAACAATTCTGGGTGGCTTTTATTAACCTCATTTTGTAGGTGAGGATATTGAGACAGGCAGAGATGGAATGACTTGCCCAGGGTCACATAGCCAGTAAGCACCTCAGGCAAGACTTGAATTCAGGTTTTCCAGACTCCAGGTCCAGCATTCTTTCCACTGCACTGCTTAGCTGCCTTTGAAAGATGTGGAAGGGAAAAAAGTCTTTCCTTCTGGATTTTCCCTTAAGGCCACCGCAGGGCACCATGTTTTCGACTGTGCATTTCTGCACAACCAGTTTGCTTGAAACTCTCTTCACCCGTGTTTTGTATGCAGAAGGACATCCTACCTGCAGGACAGTCTTCCCTAGATGCTTCCTCCTAATCTGGGGGTGGCCCTGGGGTTTTGAAGGCTGAATCTCAGGTAGGTCTCACCACGCAGGAAAGGATTCATATACGGGCTCCGTAATGGCCCTTTTATCTGTCACTGGAAGCCCAGCCTCAGATCAGTACAAAGGTTCTCTGGCTGCAAGGTGATGAATTTTTTGACCGTAGCAATTTGTGAAGAATACCCACTAAGTCATAGACAGTTGCAATCTGTGTCTGTGGAAGGGCCTTTTTAAAAAATTGTCCTTAGCTTTCTTTTGACGTTCTGGCCTTCAGCACTCGTGACATTCTTACAATACCATCCCATGCTGGCCACTTGACCCTAAGGGTGACATCACAGATCTTTGACTCATCCTGTAAATCTCTTGTTTGTACATGATTGTTTACACATTGTTTCCCTGCCCTGCCCCATTGTTAGCATGTGAGTAGGGGCTGTTTTTTACCTTCTTTTGTATCCCCAGCATTTAGTGCAGTGCTGGGTATATAGTAGGTGCTTAATAAATGCTTCTTGACAGACTGATAGGTTCTTATGCTTTACTCCCCTCTACAAACTCTGTGATCTAGCTCCTGGCCTTGTTTCTTGTTCTGACTGGCCTATTTCTTGTTCCTCACATATGGCGCCCCATCTCCCGACTGCATTTCCACCGGCTATCTCCCTCATGCCTGGAATGCTTTCCCTCCTCCCCTCTGACTCTCAGCTTTCTTTGCTTCTTTCAACACTTGGTTTTAATCCCACCTTCTGCAGGAGGCCTGTCCCCGCCCCACCTACTCAATCCTTTCCTTCTGAGATCACCTTCCACTGATGCTGCATATGCATCTCGAATGTTCAGAGCTACTTGTGTCCTGCTTCTCCCTTTAGAATATGGGCTCTCTCAGGATAGAGATTGTTTTTGCCTTTATCTGTGTCCCCAGCACATAACAAATGCTTGTCAACTGACTGACTGAAGGAGGGACAGTTTGATTTGTCCTAGATAGCTAGATAGCTGGAGGACGAGACCTAGTACCTTCCAGATCAGTGGGGGTGNGTAGAGATTGTTTTGGCCTTTATCTGTGTCCCCAGCACATAACAAATGCTTGTCAACTGACTGGAGGGACAGTTTGATCTGTCCTAGATAGCTAGATAGCTGGAGGACGAGACCTAGTACCTTCCAGATCAGTGGGGGTG